GCTTCTATATTGCGTCGAAGCTCTTCAGTCCTGGTCCACGACTCATGACCGTATGTAATCATGGAGATGAAGATCGACTTGAACACCAAGAGCTTAATCTTCGCACTCAGCTCTGCTTTAGTCACAATTGTTTGGGCTAATTCGCTCAGAATGTCACTGGCTGCTCCAATCCGCCGGTTCATCCCTTCTGTATCTTCCGTTATCAGTAAACGCCACCCCGAGGAGCTTGAACTTCTCCACCTGCTAAACTGCTTCTTTGTTTATTTGAAGAGAGCAACATGCAGAAGAACGAGAAAGCAATAGGCTTTTCGTTTTAGATGTGTTCACACGCATGCCGGCCAAATCACACTCGGATGCGAACCTTTCCATAGAGCGCTGTAGATCGGTTTCAGAAAATGACAACAAAACAAGGTCGCCTGCAACAACAGGTTGCCAGCAACCATTTCGACTCGACGTCTCCTACGCTAATACCCTCATCGCCCTTGACTGCGTCTGACCATTCTATCAATGTTCAACACAAACAGGAGAGAAAACAGAACGCAGTCCTGGCGGAGATCAGCGTCAACAATTAAAGCTTTCGACTTAATGTCATTTACTCTGAGGCACCTCCTAGCAGCATATAGTAACTGGATGAACGGCAGCAAATCGTCATCGCTCCCATATGTTCGCAGGCATGCCTCTAGATTGCTGCGCGGGATCCGGTCATAGGCTTTATCTAGCTCCATAAAGCACACATACACCAGATGACGGGCGAATATCTGATCAGATGTGCTTCGGCTGGACCGGAAATTATGCTAATCTTGTATTCTGCAGTCAGTTATTCCGCAGGACCTCCTTTCTAGCACCTCTGCGTAGTTTACTGGCGCGCCCTTTCTCTAGTCTGCTGGTGTCTTCCCCGCAGCCACTGCAGTTTGACAGACACGTGCAAACCGACACGCCTAGTTCGACTATTGCCATAAGCATTTCAGGGCAGATTTCATCTAGTACAGCCGTCTACATCTCTGATTTCATCTACAGAAAAAGTAATATCCGTTATTTTTTTACATTCCAGGCAAGTCTTCGTGCGGTTACTCGGCGTTAAAATGTTCCTCAAAGTACTTCTCAACCAGCAAAGAATGTCTTCATACTCGATAAAAGAGTGTTCAGACCTGTCCTCTATGGTTCTTAGACTATCCTTCTTTTCACTTCCGAGGCGTCAGACGGTGTGCCAGAATACACTATTTGTCTTCTGAAAATTCGACTCCAACACATCACAGAACTTCTTCCAGGAATCAGCTCTGGCTTTTGCCACTTCTTTCGCGGCCGCCTAGCGTACCTGGACATATCGCACGAGAGTAGAAGGCTCCTTTATGCCAAGTTTCCAAGCCATTTCTTGATTGCAGCTATTTCCTCTTTAACTGCAAGTTGTACCTGTCGTGTCCATCAAAAAGTTCTCTGACCTTCAGGCGACAGGCTAATCCGCTTAAATCCGCAGATTTCGGCGACAGCCTCGAGTATGCCACTCTTAAAGAGCTACCATTCGGTTTCAACATCAGCTGTCATCACTGGGATCTGTTTAAACCGTCGTGAAATGTTGTTTGCAAATTTCGCTCTAGTGTCCATCGAAAATAATGCTTCCCATTTGATTCTCTGGTTGCTTCTGCCACCAGATCTTCGCATGGTACTCCATTTTTAACAGCGCAGCGTGCCGACAACAAGGTGGGATCGGCAGACAGCTCTGTGCCCATCTCTTAATCTGAACATCCGTTACAGTGTCGCAAGTCATACGATACGACCATCAAACTGATTATCGACTCCTATGCACAATCTTCCCTGTACCAGGTATACTGATGGACGCTTCGATGCTCGAAGAAGGTGTTCATAATGGATAGTCCGTTGTTTGAACAAAACCGCAACCACTTCATGCCGTTATTGTGGAGATCGCTAAGGCCGTTCTTTTCAATCACGCCTTTTCACTTTCAGTGTCTGCTTCTACATGCGCATTAAAATCGCCTACATCCCTACCATTAGAATGAGGGACTCCTTAGTCAGCACTTCGTACAGAGCACACTCCACTACCTCAAGAAAGGATTAATATTCTCCCTCCAGATTTGGTGCATACAGGTCAATACTTTAGACTGTTGTAGCTTTGGTCGGAGGATTGCCACTTTTCCCCTGACAGGCTTCCATTCAATGATTCTATCAACTAAGCTGGATTTTACCAGAACATCAACACCGGCCTGAGCGCGCGTTGTAGCATCGACACCTAAATAAAACACCTTCCACCCGCAGAGGTTCTGGATTCCAGAGCTGCCTTGGCGCTTCGTTGAAGAGTTCAACTACACATGGTTCTTACTTGCGGCCTCCTCAACTACATCTTGCTCTTTCCCTCTGAATGTGGATATATTCCAATTTCCGAATGTAGGCCCCCACTGTCGGTATCGGTTTCTCGGAACCTTTCCTGCCGTTTTATAATGACATCACGCTGTTCGCCTCCTCCTTTCAAAATGGGTATCGACCAACTTGCAGATTGGCATGTTCGTCGTCATTTTGTCGATCTTCAGCAGTCGTTGTCGTGCTGCGACCAGAAGACGATGACCAGGTTCTCGTAACCGAGTTTTCGCAGCCTGCACATATAACCAGTTCACTTATTCCGTTTTGCTTATGCTGTGACCTTTTACAAACACAAACTGAACTAATTTTCACGCGATACGGTCTTTATACAGGTCAATGCAACAAAAAAATGTTAGGCAAATCACTTACAAAAAACCCTCATCGCCGTCTATATTGCGAACTGAAACCATGCACATGAAATCGTTTTTGTTCACTCCGCTATGAGACTGCTGCATAGGAAAGATGCGACTGACCGGTGATGCCAGCCATTATAAGCACAGCTTAGTCTTGCGAACAGACCTAGCCACGAAAACTTTCCGCATGCCCATGTTACGGCCAAACGCTCAATATATAACGCTTCATGAAACGTGCAGGATGTAGTGCACTACTAACGACACTTTTGACAGACGCTAGCTGCACTAGTACAAGCGCGTAAAAAATCACGTCCGCGAATCATTTTAATACTGCGGCCTAGCAGAGTTACGAAACTGTTCAACTAAAACCTATAAACATGTAACAAGCAAATTCGCCTACCACTTTCCGAAACGTTACAGCACTAGGACAACAATGAACAGCATTATCAGTCTTAACACATTCTTTCTAGATTCTTACAGTATTTCGTTAAACATCAAGAACCAGATAATGATAGTTCATACTATGAATCATACCCTTGCTCTGTACAACGTATTTCACAGTATTATTGATATTCCAGAAGAACGGTTGCATTGCATTTGCGAATGC